ATCATACTTACAACGAACGTCCTGACAAACTTTACTAGCTCACCTTATCACATAGCATTCAGTGCGTATTTCTACGCTATACACGTGTTGCAATCAGCGTGCGTATTTACGCTCTTCGTGTGTTGTGTCTACGCTACGCTGTGGCTGTAGGAAGCGTAGCGGAAGGATCTCGCTAAATCCCGCGTCCAGCGTCCTTGGTGTCCACTGCGCCCACTAAGGCCGCGGCCATGTTGTTTATGACAGGCACTGCCCTGTGGCCGACATTCGCCTAGGACTAGGATATCTGTAGGCGAGGAGCTAGGAGTTACTAGCAATTGTATTTTAGACCAGTTAAATTGGGGAAGTCGGTAAAAAGGGGGATATTTTGATAGTACATCTGCGTATTTTACCGAATTTCCATACAGGGAATAAGCTATTACCTATTGCCGTATGTCTCATAGTAAAAATATGTTTAAGGAACTACAGTACTTTAATGCAAATTTAATTAGGCAAATGGAATCTCTCATATTTGCAGGTTTGCTGTGGGTATTTTTATATCTTTTTACCGCAAACCCATTAGGCGATCATAGTCTATTATCTTTTATGGTTCCTACAATGGATTTCATGGGTTCTGAGACTTTATTAAAACATAAAATTAAAATTAAAAGTCAAGAAACTTGAAATTATTTAAGGCGCGTTTACACCAAAGTTGACAACCAAAAGTTTACAACTAATTGTTACTAATTGTTACATGTAATTTGTTTGCACAAATTTGAGCAACTAGTGGACGACAGATAAAAAACGCTGTATTTTGTAGAAAAGGCAACGAATTGCCGCAATTAGTGGAAAATTTAGTGGAAGACTTTGCTGTAAACTCAGCTTTTCGAATAATTATGGAGTTATTTCGTGATCCGTACCAATATTCATTGTGTACACATCTTTCAATGACGCCCATAGTACAATAAAAATAATAATATAATGCTTTTATTTTTCATCCAATCCCCACGAATTGTGTGGAATGTGTATTTATGGAAAACAATGTAAAACGTGTTGTAACACCATTGTAGTGTTACATTTATGTTAGGTTGGACCAATTTTAACACATTGAACATGAGTCTACATGTTTTCATGCGCAATATTCTTATTAGCGTTACGATGATTCTATATTCTTCTTGAACTTTGTAATCAACAATATTGATTGATATATTTTGTTAAGCTTTTCTGATTGTAAACTGATTTAAGAGTTATTCGATATGAGATCAAAAAGCCGAAAATATTCATCAAAACCGATCATTTCAAACATCCGTTAGAAAATAGCCAATTAATGGGTACTTTGGAGGGAAGTCTCCTTTACACAAGAACTGTTAAAAGGAAACGCATGAATGCGTGTTATATAGAGAAGCCTATTTTGTGGGAAAAAACAATTAAAAACTACTTTCATTGTATTGTTGTTAGCCTCCGGATTACGTTGAATATAAAAATTGGTGTAAATACCTGTTTCTTGTAATCCAACAACATTTTCATCCAACATCCAACATCTATTTATAGCAACAACATTTTTGGATTACACGAAGCAGGTATTTACACCAATAAAAAAAAAAAAAACTACTGTACTATAAATTGTTTTAACTAAATCTCCGGTGGTGCGATGGTGGTACTTCCTGCCCCAAATATTGGGTAGGTAATAGTATTACTACAATATTAAGTAGAGATGCCATCTACCGTTGATTTATTTATCCAAGGATGGCTGGAGAGTCTAATCGAAATCAATTAACAGTCAATATCTGTGTTATGAAATAACTGTCCTGTTCTTGGACATATAACTATGTCTTCAGAGTGTTATTAGACTTCATAATTCACAATCCCTAACAATTTAAAACAAAAATAAATAAAGCAACCTGAGCAATTCTAAACATTTTAAATCAAATAAATATGGTTATTTAGCAATGTTGTACCACAGACCTATGGTTAAACAAGTTTGAACGCGTTATCCCAAATATTCCATGCAGTTTTTTGTTTGATCTAGTACAAGTCGTAACGTGATTTTTGTTTGTAGTTTTTATGTCGTAATTCAATTTTCTTTACCGTGCTTGTTTGGTCATGCAAGTTCTTTGGCGTTAACTCGTATGTTTCAATACTATAACCAAAACTAATGTTCGATCCAGTGGTTTAATGTAACATCTATTGTACATTAATTAATGTATATAATAAAAGATTGTACTATTTCATTTTGGCTTTAAAACTAATCCTAAATCGACACAAAATATTAAAATATTATCGTGTTCTTTGTAATTCCAAATTTAAAAAATCAATGAGCCATTGTTACTAAATTTGATCTCAATGTAAAGTTCCTTTTCTAGTAAAAATTACAAAATATCTACTGACACGAGATATTATATTGTCCTACTCTCGTGAAATGCACATAACACTAACAGTTCGGTTAAGTAAAGAATCTCGATCAAATAGATATTATTACTTTTGTTTTCATGTTAGTAAAATAACACATATATACAACTATCTAATGCATAGTTGTATTTATATTTTTATCGAACACAAATAACATTCATAAGGAAGACTCATAAAATAGTCGAGGTACTAGCAAAACATTAATGAGTCATTGATAGAAATGGAAACGAATAGATAAGACGTATTTTGTCTTGGTCGCTGTAACCTTGACACATGACACGTAGCTCGTTGTTGTTGTTTATGACACACGGTGACGATGACAACACGTGGACACGGTGACGATGACAACACGTGGACACGGACGATGGCACTGTATCCACCCCGTGGATCTCGGATTATTGACAATGACTAAACGTCCTAGATACTTGACTTTGGTCCTTCGAAACTAGGAAAACAACACCTATCTTCTAGGCGAGCGTCGAGGAAAACATCACTAGAAAGTTTGTTTCTTGTTTACAAACTGATTTTTAACTACAATTGATGCCATTACTTTCTACTAAGCCATGTTGTAAACAATTATATGCACTATTCTATCTGTGAGTGTCAAAATACTGTATAAACTATCTAGTGAACCTATCCCTATTCCTATACCCATGTACTGGTGCGGATTATTCATAAATTACGTATTGTTAGTAATGTTTTGTTCTAAAATGGCGAAATTTTTTCAATTAACAATTATTTTTGAGTTTCTATGACAGTTTAGCGCCCCTATCTGCGCGTGCCCCCGATAAATAGGCCGACATCTCTACGAGTTATTCACGACAGTGAAACTCTTAAAACAATTATAACTGTTAAACTTTTTATTTATTTAATTTTTGCTTTTTTTAATGTTGTTAAATAAATTGAAAATGGATTACGATTATTTGAAGTAATAAGAGATTATAAAATTGATATACATTCGTAGCAACTTCGAATTAGAAACACAGAATAAAGATTCTTTAAATGGCTTTATTCTGTGGTGTGCTTTTCCCCTGCAGTGATGGTAACTGCACTCTTCCCTATTCACGTTTCCCTTGTATCTTGGTACATATATTTTAGGGTAACCTTACTAATATTATAAATGTGAAAGTTTGTGTTTGTTTGTATGTATGTTTGTTTGTTTTAAGTTCAATCACGCATTAACTGCTGGTCGGATTTGGGCTGAAATTTGGCGTGATGATAGCTCACATTCACGATTATTATATAGGCATATTCTTATCTCAAAAATCCTTTCGGGCTCCGCCCTAGTGGCTCTGTAGTTTCTCATGTTAACCTTATGATTATTCATATTTAAAGAGAATTAAAGAATTTAGTCAGCTGTTTCAACTTAAGAAGTTGGTCTTATGATATGCAAAAGCATTAAAATGTTATAAGATTTACCAACTATTATTTTTTGCATTTATGAAAACAGCTAATTTGAATTAAAGCAACGAAAAACTGTGATACGCAATGAGAACTGTCAAAGTAGGATTGTTTACATTTAAGTTTGTGTTTTAAGTAAGTTGAATGATTTGTAATATTTTGCGAATTTTTATTATTTATTTTTCACTATTGTTTAGGTGAAACTGTAGAACATAATGGCTATGGTAGATGTATATTCCTATAGTATACCGTAAATTTGAATAAGCAAATGTTATCAAACTGTGTGCTCCCCCATTGAAAACGCAAAGCTTGAATATAACTGCAATAAGCATTTTATAGGCTAATTATATGCCAACTTTGAACGAAGGACGGGTATATGTACATATGTGTATACATGTAGGGTTAATATTATAATAATATAATGTACTGTAGCACCTACACTTGACCGATCTTTAGTACTCCACCTGCATAGACTCGTGTTTTACCGTCGACAGGATCCTACCTGTTGTGCGTACTCTTGTTTATCGTCGAAACATTGTAAGACTGAAGAATATTAAAATACTATCTACATTGGATCCTAACATGTAACCAGTAAATTATTCGTTTACAGTCTTCACTCGTACAGTACTTTCAACATTTCAAGTTTTCTCCGGAGACCCTTAGTCCTGTACTCTTGGCTAATCATAGTTTCCCCTGTACAAGAGCACCTATACTTTTGCCGTTCCAAACACTTCACCGATATTTAGTAGTCCATCTGTATAACCTTCCCATCTAATTTACTATATTTTCCTATCAAACATAGCCGTGAAGAATATTCAAACCCTGCCATTTTGGATGCTAATATGGCAAAAACTCAATAGTTGTCTAATATAGACTTACGTATTCCTTTACCAATCAGTTTTCCCATTGCATTATCACTACATTTCTCCTCTACTATGGCACCTACACTTTTGCCTACCCAAACCTAATTTTCTCCACGTAGTGTAGTAGTGTACAGCCCGCGTATTCTCCGGACAGTTGGCAGCTAGTCTGTATATTCAACTTACTCCAGTTTATTCCAATATTTCATCCTATACAATATTGAAACCCTGTTAACATTGTATACATGGTCCCAGTATAAAACTTTGCATCTGGCTTATTTCTACTTTCAATATGTCAAGTTTTCCCTAAACTTTTATTTACAATTTAAACATTTAAGTTTTTCCCGTACTCACCCCCACTTGGTAGAGCACCCTGAGCGGCCTGTAGTCGCCCCTGTCCTCCGTCTTGTACGCCAGGTACTCCGGCGACACTGTCGTCTGCAACGTGAACTCCTCCAGCACGTCCTCTAGTCTGTGGTATAGGTGGTGTTGTTGGAACACTATCAGTGGTAGACGAGACGACGAGGTCTCCAGCAGACCCGCCACGATCACTAGCACCGTAGACCACATCATATTCCCATAGTTTTTGTCCGTATACGTGACGCACGCCACAAAGAAGCAGTCGGTCTTACCGCGCGTTGAGGTCTCGCACTTGCACCGGTCACACTGGCACTGACGACGGCCGAGAACGCTGCGTCTTATGAATGAACGGAGGGGGCACCTGCCCCTCCCACCCCTCCCTATCTTACATTGTACGGGAGATGTGTTTTGTGAAATTACAGTTTTGGGAGTAATTATTGTATTTTTACAAACTTGTTGGGTGATTTGTGTTGTTTTGAAAATTCTATAAAACTGTTCTAATTTTGTAAACAATAAACAATAAAAAAAATTATTTTTTAGATGTAGGCGATGTAGGTAGTAATTGACTTTTGTCAAATAATTATAAAGTAATAATCATATGGAATTGAGCTGGTCTAGTTGCCAAGATCTCTGATTCAAATCCCGCCAATCGCCAATGCCATGTAATACTGCCGCAGCGTTAATGCCTGGCCTAAAAACTAAATCATTACCTGAACAGTTCCCAGCCTTGCATCCTTATGTGGAGGAAGGACATTAACATCCTAATTATTATCTTCATTTTTGTATAGCCTAATAGATTATAGTGTGTTTATATTTAGTAGATTGATTAGTTAATAGTGTACAGTAATGAGAAAAGTTGTATGAAGAAAATATTATTGCTAAAAGCTATTGTAATGATTCATTAGGATAACGAGAATTGAAATACTTGCAGTCATTAATCTAGTCCGGAAGATCAAATAATAAATTGGCGATGATAATTAGTTTTGTGTTGTGTAATGGTTGATACTTAACTTTAAATACATATTCAGCAAGATATTTGGTATAACATTTTTATGTTACTATTTATCAAAGATAAACACACTGTCAAGTGTCACACAAGAATAAGGACTGTGAACATATAAAATACTGATAACATATCATCGGGCAACTGTTAAACAATACTCGGTACACGGATTACAATATTCTTTATGTATTTGTGAAATATATATTGAGCAATGTACAGATTTAGTAGGCCGATTAAAAAATAGTCATAATTAGAAATTAATTAAAAGAAAAATATATTAATCTTATAACATTAAGGGGAAAAGGCACTTATGAATGTATTTTTTTATGAATTAACCTCATGTTGTTAATTCATATACATGGAGCTCCAGCAAGAATATGCGTAAGGTGACATGGTTTTTTTATTGACCACAGCCTAATGTGGATCTACGCATGTTGAATAAAAATATGGATAGTGGAGAAAAGGTTTTACGATACATGAAAATTGAGTAATGAATATTTTTAGTGAATTTCCCATATAGGGAATAAGCTATTACCGTAGGTCTCGTGGTAAGACCTGGACCCGGGATCGCTTTTTACTTTTTCGTCTCCAGAGGCCAAAAACACCATCCGTTCCCCATCCGATCATGGATCGGACCATGGGATCGGAGTTTTATGGGGGAATTCATGAGTTAAAAATTGGGTGCTCTCATTTTTTACCCTCAAAACATAAATTTTCCCTATTTATTTCCAAACCATGTTGAAGGGCTTAAAAAAACAAGTAATTTAGTATATTGAAGTGTTTTTGTTATTGGTTACGGAGGAAACTAAAAAAAAAATAATTCCCACGTTTTTCTTATGGAGAATAAGTAAACCGTTGTAGTTTGCTTGTTTATGGATATATACTTTTCAAAATTGTATATTTTATACTAAGCCATTGATATTTTATTTAAAAAAAAAACACAGTTTATTACTCTCCCTGTAACAGCAAACCTAGGTACTCGTTAAACTTAATGTTATTGAAATAGATTTTATTGAAAATCAATTCAGGCAATAATGGAAATTCGCTTCGTATGCAGGTTTGCTGTGGCGGGGGTATTTTATTTACCAGCAGTTTTAAAGAGATGTTTGTACATTCCGATAGTAAATATTTTCTTTTTTATAAAGCTAACAACCAAACATGTCAACTCAAAATCAAGGCAAACAGATTTTCTTCGAAGTACTGCACAACGACATGAGTCACGCGTTATTGTGCATTGTGTCATCTAAAGATTAAAGTCTATAAGTTTGAACTCGTGCGTCCAGTTTTTAATCCTGACGTTTTGACTAATCGTCAAACAAACCATTAACCCCTTACACTCTTTTTGGCACACAGTGACTCACATCTGAATGCTAATTTCTCTGAAAATATTTAACTTTTGAGTATTAAGAAAAAATACTCTAATATATCATGTTAATAACCACTAGAGAATGATTTAACGGAATAGCTGCTCGTTGGTTAAATTCAAATTCAAAGCTAATTTTTTATTATGGTGATTTATGAAATTGTGCAAAACCCAATAGCACGACATGATTTCGAGTTTTATAATTGCATTTTTGTGCTGATTGTAAAACTAATTGATGTTCTATTTATGTATTGCAATAATATGTTAGGTTTTAGCGAATTTCCCATATAGGGAATAAGCTATTACCGTAGGTCTCATGGCAAGAACTCGACCCGGGACCGATTTACTTTTTCGTTTTGCGGTCCCGTTCAAATTCATATATATGTTTGCCCGTTTAGCGCTATAACTCGAGCAAAATTGATCCGATTTTGACGAAATTTGGTACAAACGTGTAAACCTACGTTTATTCGAACGAGTTCGCGAACCAGCATGATCGGACTATGTGAACGGGGGTTTATGGGGGGTTTTATGGGGTAAAAATCGGGTTTTCCCATTTTAGACTCTAAAAACATTAAATTTCACAATTTCTTTCCAGACCATTTTGTAGAGCTAAAATAAAGAAATATTTTTTTATATTGAAATGTTGTTGTATGCCTAACGGTTACGGAGATAATTAAAAACAAAGTTTTAAATAAAAAATTCCCTTGTTATTCTTATGGAGAATAAATAAACTGTTGTATTTTGCTTATTTTTGGATACATATTAATCAAATTTGGCAATTTTGTTTATTTCAAACTAAACTATCAACATTTCAATAAAACAACACACCTCAATACCTTCCCTTTAGCAGCAAACCTAGGTACTCGTTAAGATAAATGTTATCTAAATATGAAATAAATCTGACAGTTTTCAAGGAATATTTTAGTAGAAATCCAGTCAGGCACATTGAAATTCGCTTAGTCTGCAGGTTTGCTGTGGCGGGGGTATTTATTATAGGCTATTACTATGTTCCATAATATTATTGATAACAATGTTTTTGTATAGTTTTTGTGTTTTCATGTTATGACTAGGCCTACGTAGATTTTTATCTTTAGCACACTGTAAAGTTTTGGTCCCTCGAACCGGATATCGAATTTATGAGTTAAATACGCACAAGAATGATTTAAGGATATACAGTATACTATTTAAATTGATGTCCAAATGTTATAACACGACACGACCTCTAGTTGTATCATGTGTACATATTTTTTTGTATACTTATTAACTCCCTATATTAATTGATTCTCTTTATCTATGTAATGTGTTGATTTCTTCTTGAACTATTTATTCTTTACAAAAACAATTTTATTCCCTCCAAATAGTATGTGTAATTGTATTTTGACTTCCAGCATAAACTTTTTTGGTCCTTCGAGCCGATATCACATCTGGGTATATGCATCTTTGAATATCTCTACCTACAGAGAATCAACCAACTTTAAAAATGGTCGATTTGTTTATTTCTAAAAGTATCTTTCGATGCTTTAACATTCCTCCGGTGGGATCGTAGCCCTGAGAGGACCACAAATTAGCAGTTTTACGCTGATGCCCAGCTGACTAATAAACCAGGGTATTTAGTTGACCGCGAATCGATCCTTCTGAGAAGCGATAACATCGAATCGAGCAGCGGCCATGAGATGCTGTAAGGGGGGGAGGTGGTATATCGAAATGTGAGGAATGCCTGGTGTGACCTTTGAACCCGCATTCCTGCCGTTGTTTCCCGGGCATCTCCTCGCGGGCCGAGGCCCAATGACCTGATGTTTATTGAGAATTAAGTAATAACTCTGGATGAGCGGGGACGAAACTGTAAGCCCGGGCTATGTGACAAATACGCGTGTGAATAGATTCTAGTGACGAATCGTCGCAGTTGCGATTATGTATCCTGTATCCTACATTATGTTAGCTATGTGGAATCATCGTAATCATCATCGTCGTCGTCGTTTGTGGCGACCTTGGGCGGGTTACACCATGGGTTTAGTTATGTTGGAACGAAATAGTATGGTATTTCCATAGCAATAAAGTTACGTTCATAGTTCGAAGCGAAGAGTTAATTTCCCTGAAACACTCGGGCCTAAAGAGAGAGTTCTGCAGCGCTCTGACGTGATACTTGCAATATGAACGTTGGTTTCAAAATCACTCAGTGACAGGAAAAATTATGTTTCATCGTTGTTGCAGGCTTATGCCAATAAATTCAGCTGGCCCTATTAGATAGTGTTGTGTGATGCATGACAGCACATCTAGGGGGATACGTTGCAACGAAGATATCACAGTTTTAGTTGGTTTGGAAGGTTTCATATTGCAGTGTCATTACTAGAAAATCGTCGCAAGTAATCTTTTAGCACGATTTTAGCAAGCCCCATTAGGTTTACGCTAATGAAATATAAATGGGACTGATTATAGATAAATAGGAACAGAGTCAGAAAAACAGAACACGTTAACTCAGTGGACCAGTGGTAGTTTTTTGGGTGTATAGTACACGTCACTGCAGTCACCACACCAGTCCCCGCCAGCTTGCCCCTATTATTTCATTATAGCACAGTTGGTATATGAATGTGGTAACGGGTAGTTAGGTTGAAGACACCACTACTGTACAACAATCAGGCAGAGCAAAGAACCAGCCTGCGCGGGTGAAACGATTTATTGCACTACAAAGTTAAGCAAAGTCGAGCAGGCCTTGGCAGTAAGTTACAATGGCGATCGCGCAACTCGCCATCTTTATCTCAGCGGCACCTGATGATAGATTATAGCGGAAATGAGGCGAATTAACAACCGGAAGTGAAGCGAACGGCCGCCGGTTTAATAGGAATGTTGTTGCTTAGCGCGGTCCAGTGGGCCTCGGTCCTGTACTTGAGATCGACGTCTGACGTCTGACCACAGTCTGCGAGTCTGACGCTCTTG